TGTGAACACTGACGCCATTTCAAATCTTCATTGAAGTTTATCACACACAAGATTATGGGTTGAAATCTCTCCTCGATTGTGGGGGGGGACCATCAATTTACACTTTTTTGTGCACACAGTGTTTATTATCTTATTCCATTTAAAAAAATTCAAAAGGGAAAATCCTCGATCCATCACTTCCTTTATTATTTTGTTTTGCTTAAAACATGGAGGGAATATTCAATATTGTGTCCCCTCATACCAAATTCATGGGGGGGATGTGTCCCGCTGTTCCCCCCCCCTGGATTTCCACCAATGCACAAGATGTTCAATTTTGTAAAAAACTACCCCCCAACCCTGAGCATGCTTCTGAGATGTGAATGGAATATAATCATATTTTTCACATTTACCTCTTTTAGAGATAAAGGACATGTACATGTACACACTGTCAGTCTCCAGGCATACACAGTCCTTAGAACAAAAAGGGAGAATTTTTAATTTATGATTAAGGCTGGAGGAGGCTGGAGGCTGCAGGTTCAAATCCCACCCAAGTCAATTTCTTTGTTGATCTTTGTAATCATTTGTAAGCACAGAGTCAGTTTCCCTATATAGTTTGTTTCATGATTTATGTTCAAAAAACCATATCCTCATTGAGTGATCTTTGTTCACCACTTCCCAGGTTATACTGTGTTATGGGGGTATGATCCCTGGCTTCATGTGGCCTGTTTGTTTCACATAGATCAGTCAAGTATTGCTTTATTGGTTATTATTGGCATATTGTGGATTTTTATGCTATGTAATGTAACTGTTACATAAGTAACCTGTTTTTTGTTGCTTACAAACTATAATCTAGAAGATTTAATTTACTCATATTATGTGTGCACCATGCCATGCTATTTTATTAATTGAAAATACATTTCCAAAGGTTTGTAAGGGGATACTTTTTGATATTGCATGTTGGCTTTTTATGCGTGTCTGAAAATGTAACGTAAAAGTAGAATTTTGTCTTTAGGCTTTTATATGCCTTAATTTACAGATAATTTACATCATCAAATGTGCCTTTCAATAATTATGAAGTTACATCCACTCAGAAACACAATTTCCTCAAAGAATCTCCTCTTACACTTGTTATTCTGGCTACTGAAGTTACATGGTTACATTACCATTTTCATTGCTTCATTCAACTGTACTGATAATGGACACATCATCAGAAAATGATTGTTACATATTGTAAGATTTTTGGCATTTCCACAGTGCACTTTGTGGAAAAGGCTTTATCTACTCATTCTTTTTTCTTTCTTTTTTTAGTTTGTTTTTGTCTTCTTGGTCTTCCACCGATTTTTCTCGTCACCACTTTAGGCATTAAACAAAGTCATAGGACTTTGAAACTTTACACACACTAACTTATAGCTTTCACAAAACATGACATCGTGATGATGTCATCACCTGATTTATTATGGAATTTCAAATATTTAATATTTCCCCATATGTTTTGTAGAAGTTTTTCAACAGCCATACACTGTGAGTGAAATTTCCAGCCCTTTTGCTCGTCATCACCTTTTTAGGTTTTTTAAACAAAGTCCTATGACTTTGAAACTTTACACACTTTACTTATAGCAAGGGTCTTTTCTGAAAGATGATGTCCTAATAATGATGTCACCTGACTGGAATTTTAAATATTTAATATTTTCCCATATTTTGTACACGTTTTTCAAGAGCAAATCTAAGGCCCTTTTTACATATTAGGTCCTCACTCAGACTTCAGGAAAGACAGGGTCCAAGACAAAAGTTGTCATCATGATGTCACCTCGTGTCACATGACATGTCATTTAAGGTGCAAATTTCAGAGGCCTATATCTCCTGAAGTACATGTCCCATTGGGTTGAAACTTTTCAGATATTTCGAAAACAGACCACGTGATGATGACGTCATCAGGTACCATGTCACATGACGTTAAAGGTGAACTCTTGAAAGCCCTATATCTCCTTAAGTACATGTCCCATCGGGTTGAAACTTTGCAGATAACTTTCGAGGGAAGGGATTTAGACAAACACTGTCCTCATGTGATGACGACTTCATCAGGTGCCAAGTCAAGTGATATTAAATGTGCACTCTTAAAAGCCCTATGTCTCCTGAAGTACTCTTCCCATCAGGTTGAAACTGCAGATATTTCTAAAGGGATGTATCAAAGATGAAAATGAACCGAAGGTGATGATGACATCATCAGGTGCCAAGACACATGACGTTAAAGGTGCACTCTTTAAAGCCCTATATCTCCTGAGGTACATGTCCCATCAGTTTGCAACTTTGCAGATAGCTGGAAAGGGAAAGGTTATAGACAAAAATTGACCTCATGTGATGATGACCTCAAGTTACAAGTCATGTGACAAGAAAGTTGCATTGTTAAAAGCCCTATATCTCCCGGAGACCTTGCGCGATTGAATTGAAACTTTGCAGATAGCTGGAAAGGGAAGTTTTATGGACAAAAATGTTGTGACATTTAACATCCATTCTTTAAAGCCCTATTCTCTTCTTTGTAAAAAATTCTAAATGCTGAAAAACCTTATGTTCTGTTCTCGAACAGGCATAGACTTCTGTTTAACTTTTTTCCTTTTTTTGGTGTGTGTATTGATCAGTTGTTTTTAATCCTCCAGATTTTGATGGAATGTTCTTTCTCCCCTCCAACTTAAGTTGACCAGACCATGAGTCTTCTTCAAGAACTTTCTCATTGTATACAACCCTCCATTTTACCAGGAGTCCTTCTTTTGTGTAGTGTGCCTAGTTTTTTCACTGATAGAGAAGTATTGTTTAGTGTTGAATTAGAGAGGGGAGTCCACTAGGAAGTTTTTTTCATTTACCTCTCTTGACAAGTTGGCTAAATGTTCACTCCAGATGTGTTGAACAATAAACCAGAATTGAAGGTGAACCTATGCCTCTGTCTCTTTCCTCATTAAATTAGGTTAGCCAGGTTCTGGCAAAAAGCTGCTTCTTGTATTATTTAAAATTAGCTTGAGCTTGTTGGAGTGAAGTGTGAAATGAAAGTGATGTGGAAAGTACCATAGCTAGGCTGAGAGTCAGAATGTCAGATGATTCCGCTGTTTCAGCATGACATTTTAGTTGCTGCCATAAGCGTTTTCTCGTTGGCCAGACACAATTTAGAGGCAATTTGCCAAGTAGGCACAAATTCAGGAGTCTCACGCAACAACTAACCTTCCATGGTTAGAACAGAACTGAGAAAAACCCAGCCTGTCAGATTTTGTTGTCAAGGTGAGCCGTGGAGCAGAACTCAACCACCTCAAATACTTTTCACTGAAGAAACTCGTAACTGTAAATACGTTATTTATAATGGGAGATTATTCTGTAAGTTCATTGGTGTTTGGTAAAATGAAGTTCCCTTCCTTCACTGAAAATATCAATAGAATTTGTGGATGCAATTCGATGTGATTTGATTGTACAGACATAAATTTGTCAAGGTTGAAGGACTCGGCGGCATAATTTAATCCAAGAGCTATTAAGGATTATTTTTTAAATTTAAATTATGGTCAGGAATTTCTTTTTTCTTTCCAAATTAGAAATGTAGTACTTGTAAGGTTTTGCCATTTCTTTAAATTCAGATGGTCATTGGTCACCTTTTTATGTCAACCCCCTGCTACCCGTGCTACCGGGAGTCACAAAATTGATCTGGAGGACAGAAACCCCACAAATAACCAAGGGCAGTGCCGAGAATTGAGCGAACAGAGTTGACACAGTGGGAGCCCCAACTTAATTATAAGGGATGTGTACACTGAAAACTACATGTATTTCTCAATGAAAAAGAACTAAACCCTTTCTGCATTTTTATGACAAAGAACTCTAATCTTCTGTATTGTAAGAAGCCTGAACTGATTTGTAATAAGTCAAATTGATTTTGTATTTCACTGATTGAATTTGAATTTGACTTTTTATTTATTTATTTTTTTGGGGGGGAGTAACAGAATATGTTAAACTAGATAACTGTGAAGAAAACAAAGAGGCAATTAAACAATTGACTGTAAACTTCATTTTTGCCTTCAACTTGATGAAATCCTTGATCAAATCTTGTTCTTTTTATGCCTATATATAAAGTGTTAAAATAAACCAGTTGTAAACCAGAAAGGAAGAACTCTGTAAAACTGAGAAGTTTCCTCCCCATCCTTTTGCCAGTCACATTCTTACAATGGGGGCTGGTCCAGGAAACATTTTGTGAAATGAATCACGAATGTTATAGGCCAGATGTACTCCCTACGAATTAAGGTATGAAGTTTTCAACCTAACATTGATGTTATACAGGTGTTGAGCATCAATGTCACTATTGATACATATCCTTTCGTGTTTATTTATGCAGGTTGAGTACTGCTCCTTCCCATTCAAATCTTGTTCTTTTTATACTTGTATATAAAGTTTTTAAATAAACCAGTTGTAAAGTAGAAAAGAAGAACACTTCCAAACTGAGAAGTTTCCACCCCATCCTTTTGGTAGTCACATTCTTACACTTGTATCAAATTATGGAACTGATTGGCAGTGTTACTAGGCTACATTGTCAACAAGTGCTTTGAATGTTCGTAAATGTAATTGAGGAAATTGGTGAAGCTGTTTCCTTTATCCCAAGGCCTTTTTCCAATACTTGACATTGTCTCTGTGTCAGGCTTCATCTCCAAAATCAATCCCCGATTGTAGGCCCTAAGCATTAAAATTATTATATATCTTGCTCTTTTGCAACTTTTTGATGTTCATTTGGCAACAATATTAACTGGATGATGGCTTGCAATTGTGGAATTGAAATTTGGAGTCATGCCCACTCAATCATGCAATTGCCCCTCTTTGTTTGTGTATGAAGCTAATTAATCCCTATAAGTAGAGTTGATTGTGTGGACTCCTAGGAGTTCAAGTTAAAGGAGATGAAGGATCTCCATTTTCTTTTGACTTTTCTTGTAGACCTTTTGGGTAAATATATTGTAGTCTGTTGGCAAGTTTGTGAATAAATATAATAAATTTTGCATTAGACAGGCTTGTTGAAGGATGGGAAAAGGAAAAACTCATGCAGAAAGAGTCCTCTGGTCGAGATCGCATCCTTCTTGATGACATTACTGATCTGCAGAAACGCACTGACAAGCGGGAGCAAAACATTGCACATGTCACCGAGAGGCTGCACAATGAACTAATTGTTCTTGCTCACTTCCTCACTGATGTTGCTGATAGGAGACCTAAAAGTAAGCACACAGAGTTGTTGTAATCAAATGGATAATCTGTGATTTATGTTACTTCAATGAGGAATACATTTTCCGTTCAAGCTCATCTGTGTACAGTTGTAGAAACATGCCAAAACTAAAGCCTTTGTCTTTGCTGGCATTCATTTCTGTAGAGAGGGTAATTGGATAGTTCATTTTCTTTAACACTCTTTCCAATTTCATGTGAAGTATGGAAGAAGATTCATGTCCAGTCTTTTTGAATACCAAAGAGGAACAAAACTTTTTTAAATAAATTTGTATGATTTTGAGAGGGATGCAGGAATATGTATTTTGCTCAAACTCAAAGATAATAGTTCACGAGTCAAAACAAATGCAGAATTGCTTTAAGCACAATACATTGTATCCCCCTCCAAAAAAATTTGATATTGATAAAAGAGTTCTAATTTCATCCATATAAATTTAATTTTAGAAAATTCATTCTTAACATTATGATCAACTCTGCCATTATGCTCTTCAATTACTCTTTTCTTGCACATATAAAGGTGACAGTTTGCTTTCCTTCAGCAAACTTTTTCGAAAGGACAATATCAAAACCAAATTGTCCTCAGTACCTCTGTAAATAACTACACAGAATATCTACAGGTACATTGAATCCTAATATAAATAACAATATTACTGCCTTAAAAGGTACTTGTATGGTGTTATCTTTAATATTAAACATAATCATTTATGTGTAGATACAAGGCATGGAAGGAAGACTCTCACAGACTCCAGACCACCTACTATGTTGGAATTCTACCTGGAATCGCGCCAGCAATTGGCATTGCAATCCTCCCATTCATCTTCTGAGGAAAATGCTGATGTTAAAGACTGAAAGATGAATGCATGTCATTGAATATTATTTCTATCACTGTAATGTTGTGGGAGCAATTGACATAACAAAGCTTTTAGAATACCAGATGTGTTCAAAACAATCAGTTTTTTTTAAGTGCAAACTCACCACTTTTTGATGATGCATTTTCTGTTGTAGTATGCCAGGAGGACATGTTTTTCTACCCTTACCTGTAGTAGAGGATTTGCTTGTTTGATTGAATAAAACTTTACATTAAATATTTTGGAACAGTAATACATAGGAGCAGTGGCATGAATCTGTGCTAGAAATTGGAGGGGGTGCATATTGGGAAAGGTAAGGGGATGACTCCTCTGGCCATAAATATTTGAAAAGTTGGGGATGGGGGAACACCATATGACTCAATATGGCCATTGTTCTTGATGTTGCTGTAAATCTGTACTGTAAGTGCTATTGCTATTACCACATCTATTTTCACTATGCTAGAAAGGCATTGTGGGAAGGGAAAAAGGAGCAAGCATTGTCCCATTTCCTGAACATACTGCTTTTCTACCATTGTGCAGAGTCACATAGGTGGTATTAGCCACAAGGCTTATGCATTCCACATGGCATATTTATGGCGTCTTAAAATTGTTCTCCCTTTTTGAGTGATATCTTCTCAATCCCGTTTAATTATTTTTCTCACCACCAAAAAGGTGGAGGAATGATGGAATAGCCCACCTCCACCACCATCTCAATAAAAGTGGGGGATATTATGCTCCCACCCTCTGGGATTGACGCCCTTGCATTGGAGAGTGATTAATACAGGTCCAACTGGTCGGACAGAAAAATTCTATAGTTTGAAAGGTAAAGAAATGTTTGTGAAAGATGTTGAAAAAAAAATGATGAAAAAAATGTTTGTGTTCTAGAAAATTGCACAGTTAACTGTACTGAAAATTCCTGATTTTGTTTTTGTCACACAGAAAAACAAAATTTAATGTTCTTATACCCTGTCTGTATTCTCATTTCATGCTCTGATTATTTCAGCTTTTGTTTTTTTTTTTTTACCTTTTCTGATCCCAACTTTTTCATTCTTTGTTACATTCTTTCCTATTCACATTTTTGGAGGGATGGATTGATGCAGATTTAAGCCCTACTATGCCCCCAGTTATCATCATTCTGTTTTCTTCTAATTCATAAGTCAATTTGCCTTGAAATGAAAAATATTTTATTGAAATAAAGCAATTTCAAAGGCTTAGTTTATTTCAGTCTCATTTATCCACTGCATTAACAGTTTGACCTGTATCATGATCAATAGGGCATACATGTGTCATAATTAAAAAGAATTTTAAAGCATAAAAGTAACGAATGAACGAGAAAAAAAGAACTTTCACTTACATCTGTTAATAAATTTCTGTTAAAGTTTCCCAGATAACGATTTTGCAATGTTTCTTCACCAAATCTGGTGTTGACTTGGCACTTTCTGTGGTTTAGACCAGTCTGTTGGGCAAAGTTTGTTACACCCTTTTGCTGTTCTGTAAGTGGTACATGCCGATGTTGAGTTTTCAACTCATGAGATTCCCTACATTAAATGAAATGTGCTGTTTGTACCTTGTTTGCATGTAAGCATATACTGTATGTGCTCTATTAAAAAGGGGAGAAAATACATTTTGCAAACAACAAAATTCACATGTAAAAATATTGCATTTTTTATGACCATTACCACGGCTGTCAAGAGCTGCATCCACAGTGCCTACCTTTATGTAAAACTTTGTTAATAGGTTATTTGGATTCAGTGACTTCATCAAGAAATGTACATAAGGTTTGCTATGTCAGCCCGTTATTAGGTTTTGAATTACAACATGCCAAACTGCCATTGTCTGCCAATAGATCATACTTACAAATTCTAATTCTCCCAATTTAGTATATGTTTTTCTGTTTTTATTTGGGTTTGAGTTAATTTGTGTGTGTGTTTATAGCTTTTTGCTTCTGATAACTTTTTCTTCCACACTTACATGAAGAAGAGAGTCAAAGTATGATGTCAGAAAGGTGTCATTACAAATCACAAGTTAACTTTACATTTACCCAAACTGTGATGTGTTGAATGGAATGGGCTTTTGTCTCTTTTGTGTATTTTTGTTTTGACTAATCTCCTTGAATTGGAAATGTTGAAATTTCAAAATTGAGATTAATATGCACATAGGTTAATATGTTTCGTGAAGGCATCACCAACATCATGTAAATACTGTATATACACATAAGTGATGTGATCAAGCAAATTGAGTCATTTGTAGTTCCAAGCCTATTTGTTGAATTTCATTGCTTCAAAAGGTCTATGCTGTCAACTTCATTTCTCTTAAAATCCCAACCATGAGACAACTTTGAAATCAACAATAGCAGAAGTTGAAACATGAAAAGATTCAAGTTAGGGCATTTTATTCTGAGACCTTCTTTCAAATGAAGATTCCAGGAATGACTCATTGTGCTCGATCACATCACAGATGTGGCATAGCAGTGTATTCAGGGTTTTCGACATGGGGTGAGTAGAGAGGGGTGTGCCCCATTTATGTTTATGGTAGTCACCTTATTTGACCTTTATTGCTATGCAGTTTTGATGACAGTGCTGTGAGGTATCATTAAATATATCATGACAATGACAACAAATGCCATGTACAAATTTGTAAAGTAATTATCCCATTCAAAACCAAGCACAAAAATTTAAAACATTTTGAAACAGATTAATCCAATGGGAGGCTTTGAGATGCTTGGTGGCAGCAAACATTCTGGTCATTTTTACGAGTTCTGAGCATGCATGTATTGTTCTGAGCAATACTGTGTAAAAGGACATGTATGTCTACTGTCACCAGCGGCTTCAAGTCTCCAACTGGCCTCTGGTCATGCACAAACACACACGGGAAGTTGGGTGTGTCAGCAGTCGCAACCACTGTGTGCAAGGGGTAGTGTAGTCAGACAGATTCAACAGGTACAAATCAAAGGTATTATCAAGAACTCTATTCAAGGCTTTATAGACTTCCGTGCCTTTATCACGTTTTCCTTCGAGATCATCCACAATGTCCTGGTGATTTTCATTATCCTTAAAATGTAAGAAACCTGACAGAAGTACTCCTTATAGTTGTCAAAAAATCTTGCTTGACTACCCAGAAGGTCTGTCTGTTTGCCCTTTGCCTGGCTTGATCTTCATCCATACCTTCATTGACGTACTTGTCAGATTTGTCATCCTGCATCTCCCTGTTTGTTTCTCTGGTTTCAGCCAGCTGATCTTGGGAGATGACATTTTTCCAATTCCGAGGTTTCGTCATCGACCTCCTCATCAGATTCCGAATCATCGCCAACTTCATTCATGTACGATTCCTCTCCAGCGTGGATATTTTCCATGTGCCTCTTTATATCAGACTTCTATCCAAAGCATTTATCACACTGGTGACAAGCATATAGGGATTGACTGCAGAAATAACAATCATGTCGATCCTTGGAACTTTGGAAGGATAATCTTTAAATGACAAGATACAAATGAAATCGTTCAATATATAACATGTATATATATACATGCATATTGTAGCGTGTCTCCCTGAACAGGGTTCGAATCTGTAAAGAACGACACTCAGCCGCAACTCGCTATTTTGTCAGGAAGTCTGCTTTAATCTCTCGTCCACAAATAATCCGTCTTTTTAGCTCAAATCCAATATGGCTCCTCTCGGCAGGGACTGCGTAGGCACGAGGCGGGAAAACCGCGGGCCGTTGCAACCAGCGCGGGCAGCCAGCCAACTCCATGCGGGTCTGAGCTGGCGCCCCCATTGGCCGGACCCGCCGGCGCTACACCACCCCCTCCGAGGCCTCTTGTTCGTCCCCGAACGAAGCGGCGCAACCCGGCGGGCCAGCCCGAGGCCATCCCGGTCGCCCCTGCGCAGCTTACAAAGAGTGAAACCAAGCAACAAGTACAAGCCTGGTGGGTTCTAAGGGTCTTCTCCGCTACCATGGGGGGATCCAGGGGTCCAGTGTGGGGGGGACTCCGGTCGCTGCGTCACCCCCCGGCGGTGCCTCGCTGCTCCGAGGGGGCGGACTCCGGTGGGCAGTGGAGGGGGCTCCCGCTGGACCTCCGACCGCCGGAACAGCTGGTCCCAGAACTGCCACGGAACTTGCTCAGGGTACCGGGTCGGAGGCGGTGCTCCCGGGGGTAAGAAGCCCCCCAGGGACGGCTGCCCGGTGTAGTTGGCGTCGACACTGTATTGCACATACGGCTCACCGCCGAAGGTGTACAACATCCAGCCCGGGACCTCATAAGTGTGAACCACCCGGGTCTGGAATTGGCAGTGGCTATGGCGGTCCAAGCCAGTGGGGGCTACCTCCAACCGCCACTGGTTGTGGTGATGCCCACAGAGGGGTGGGTCCATCGTGGTGTCTACATCTCTGGTGGCCCACTCCTCTTGCAGGGTGGCTCGCACCCCCAGTTGCAGGCGGACCCGTCCCGCGTATGTCACCCATGAACCGGGGGGCAGACTCCGACGGCCCCCGCTCCAAACCGGGGCTGGGGGTTCTTCCTCAGTCTGTGTCCCTGTCTCTACTGAGCGGTGCAGGGGGGCGGTCCCGGCCGCAGCGGCCGCCGCGGGGGCCCGAGGCCGCACCGGAAGGCGAGTCCGACTGGTCTCGTCGTACCTGCCGGCTCTGCGACCCCTGCCGTCGGCGCCGAGAGGGCACCGGCGGAGAGGGCTCACCCCGGCAGTTGACCGAGGGCAGGCAGGGGGGATAGCTGCTCCTCGGGGAACTCGTCACCCTCCAACTCCCCATCACTGGCGAAGACCTCCAGGACGTCAGGATCCTCTTCCCTGACCTGGCCGACGAGGACGTGGTCGCAGTGTCGGTGGTGCCGATCCCACACATCCGAGCGGTAGAAACAGCGACCACACCCCCGCTCACAGGTATAGGGCCGGGCGGCAAACAGCTCCGGACAAGCCGTCCTCAGGTGTCGCCGCAAATTGGTCCGCTGACGGAATTCCCGCCGACAGCCGGGGCAGGCCAACCGGTCCATCCTGAGGAGAGAAACAGAGGGAAATTCAGGAGTTAGCGTGGAGCAGAATCGCGCGTGCTCCCCCCACCTCCGGCTCGCACGGCGATGGTTCCGCCGGCGCACTGCCTCCCTGGCTGCTTGTGTCTGAATTCTCCCTGCTTGATACGCCGCCGCTCCGGCCCGGGTGCCCCGACTTCACCCCATCAATAGGTTCCAGTGCGGTCCCTTCGTCAACGGGGGGAGACGGCCCCCGCGGGCAGGACTGAGGGCCGGATCCACTGGCTCCTTGCCCCCCTGCCCGCTCTGGCGCCTCCTCGGCCAAGGTTCCGCGGGCTGCGCGCTCCCACTATCCAAGCTGCACGTCGCCCAGGTAGCGCTTGAGCCGATTGCGATGCATGATTTGAGCCTTTGCTCGGGCGCTACGCTGCACTTTGTAGGTCACGTTGTTGAGGCGTTGTAGCACCGCGAAGGGTCCGTCCCACCACCGTTGCAGCTTGGGGAGCGGCCGACCTTCTTCTTTGGGGTGTACAGCCAAACAACCTGGTCGGGCTCGAACCCGCCCTCCTGGGCGCGACGGTCGTACTGCTGCTTCTGGTAGCTCCGAGTCCACCTCAGGTGTCGCCGGGCAAACTCGTGAGCCCGCGTGAACTTAGTTCTCAGCTCGTTAACATAATTTAGTGGCTCGGTAGTCTCCGTCCGTTCCTCCGGTGACCCCACAACAACGTCCAGGGGAAGTCCCACCTCCCTCCCGAGCATGAGCATGTTCGGGGTGAGCCTGGTGCTATTGTGCTGGGAGGAGCGGTAGGCCATCAGGACGTAGGGAAGATGTTCGTCCCAGTCGTCCTGATTATTCTCATCCACAAACATGCTCAGCATGGTCTTCACGGTACGATTGAACCGTTCGACCATGCCGTCGGACTGGGGGTGGAACGGAGTTGTCCTAGTCTTGTGGATGCCCAACAACTGGCAGACCCAACGGAACAGGCCCGCCTCGAACTCCCGCCCTTGATCCGTGTGGATCTCGAGGGGTGTCCCGAAGCACGTAATCACCTGCTCCACAAGGGTCTTGGCCACAGTCTCGGCCGTCTGATCCGGAAGGGCAAACGCCTCCACCCACTTCTTGAAATAGTCCGCCACTACCATTATGCTGGTGTTTCTGGCCTTGGTTCAGGGCAGGCGTCCGGTAAGGTCAATGGCGAACCTTTTCAGCTTAATGTTCAATTTTAGTCATTTGAGTCCCATTTACCCTAATGTTCAATTTTAGTCATTTGAGTCCTATTAAGCTTAATGTTCAATTTTAGTCATTTGAGTCCCATTAAGCCTAATGTTCAATTTTAGTCATTTGAGTCCCATTTAGCCTAATGTTCAATTTTAGTCATTTGAGTCCCATTAAGCCTAATGTTCAATTTTAGTCATTTGAGTCCCATTTAGCC